TAATAATAAAGAGAAAAACAAAAACAATAGTGTGAATGCCTAATGGCATTCACACAATAAAAAACGGAACAGATACAATAGGGTTCCATGCTCCGATGGAGACATGGAAACGCTGCTGCTTTGCAGCTGCGTTACCCTGCTTCCTCGGGCTTGGACCCCTAATAATAATAATAATAATAATAATAATAATAATAACGGAACAGATACAATAGGGTTCCATGCTCCGATGGAGACATGGAAACGCTGCTGCTTTGCAGCTGCGTTACCCTGCTTCCTCGGGCTTGGACCCCTAATAATAATAATAAAACGGAACAGATACAATAGGGTTCCATGCTCCGATGGAGACATGGAAACGCTGCTGCTTTGCAGCTGCGTTACCCTGCTTCCTCGGGCTTGGACCCCTAATAATAATAACGTGTCAAAACACACAACACAACATAATCAAATCATAGCTGGTTTGTAAACATGCTGTTTTAGGCTGCACTGTTGCAAATTAGTATACAAATTCTGTTGTTCCCAAATATTGAATACAGTCATTTATTTTGAGAATAATTCAAATGTTATTTAAATAACCTCCCAATGATAACAGTATTTTTGTCAAACATAAAAAAAAACTGAAAATGCACTGTTCCAAATTATTACAAACAACAGAGTTTAAAATATTTTCCAGGTTGAACATAGTGTCCCAATACCAAGTAGGAGTACTTYTGTTTGGGTCCTCACCAACACCGAGTACTTACTGATGTTAGAGCCTAAGCATGACAACAAAAATTTAAAAACACTATTTTTATTTAGAACAAGTTGACTCTCCTTCCTTACAGGCGTACAGCCTCTCTGACTGGATGAAATCAAATACTGTTGCAACATTTAAACATTTTTCTTTCARCTTGTGTAATCTTAAGCGTGAAACTGACAAACTTTTCACTTGAGAATTAAACTGTAACACACTGAATGAAGTATYGATACAGTATCAGTTCTGGGTATTGGAGAACTTAATACGAGTACTTGTAAAATAAAAGCCGGTATCAGTACCAGGACACCGCTGGCTGTAAAGAACTGAAAATGGTCATTTGTTGAATTTGCAGCAGTAGGAGGTCATACAGTACTGAAATYTATCAAAATCATCTGAATGGGTAAATTGACATTTTGACATGGGATCTGGTGAGTTTTTGGAGAGCTTCTGCTTGAATTTCTTTGCACGAKATCAGAATAACATCCCAGAGCTGCTGTTTAGATGTGAACCTCCTCCCACCCTCAAAGATCTTAAAAGGTTCTCAATAAGGGTTAAAGGTCAGGGGAGGACATCGTGAGTTTCTCTCCTTTCTGCCCGTTGTGGCCGATGATGCAGAGGTTTACCTCGCAGCGTGAGACGGTGCATCATCATGCATGAAGATGATTTTGGTTTATATATTTTTGGATCCACTGCAGCTGTTTCTGCTTGTGAGTTTTGGTTAGGGCTTGACTACACTATAGGACCCTACGCCTTGATGTTGGCAGGACTTCAGAGGCACCAGTAGCTTCAAATATCAGTTTGTTGCTTTGTAAGAACATTTTAGCTGCTGCTTTAGGTGTTTCGGAGAAACTGAGACGTTTATTTTCTAAACATGATGTCCCAGTRGCTTTCAAACCCCAAAACACATTACGGCAAAGGCTGGTTCACCCCAAAGATCCGGTGCCCCGGCACAATCAGAACAATGTTGTATATGCTGTTAAGTGCCAGGAGGACTGCGACCAGTTATACATCGGGGAAACAAAGCAGCCACTGTTCAAAAGAATGTCCCAACACAGACGAGCTACATCTAATGGCCAGAACTCTGCAGTTTTCACTCATTTACAGGCCAGCGGTCACTCTTTCAGAGATGAGGATGTTCTCATTCTTGATAGGGAGGAACGTTGGTTTGAGAGAGGAGTAAAAGAAGCCATTTTTGTAAAGAAAGACCGTCCGTCATTAAACAGAGGTGGAGGCCTCCGTTTTCAGCTGTCCTCCTCCTACAGCACTGCCATTGCCAGCATCACTCCACCCCCTGTTAACAATAGGTGTTAATTAGGTGTCAACGATAGCCATGTGATGTGAGTATCAGTCACATGGAGGCAGGGCTTMAACGCCTGAATTTTGCCTGAAACTCTCAGACTGAAGAAGTCTCTTGGAGGAGAGACGAAACGTTTCATTAAAGAAGAACCCGTCCAGAGGACCCATACAATTTTTTCTTTTTGATTTTTTACCTGGATTACTGAGATGCATCAGGACATTTTAGCTGCTCTTCTCTTAATCTTTTTTCTTTTCCATATTGTTTTGAAAACGGTCGTCTGCATAATATTGTGGAACATCCTTCAGTAGTTTTTCCTTTAATTCGGCTCATCTGACAAACTAAACATCACAGGTGTCTGAGATTGATTTCAGCGATCCAAAGTGATTAAATACGGTCCATGAGTTTAATCATAAATAAAAAAAATGTAATCCTCATGACCCTTAAATACAGTTTGCACAATAATTTGGGACRTGGTGTAATATCCTGAACTGTTTCCTGTGGCTTTAATAAAACTCGGCTCTGCACACTCAGTTGTACTAAAGATGCTGGAAATCTTGTGCCCGTTCACCCAACAAACTGCAGACTCATGAGTTCAGCTGCCTCTCTCAGTCTCAGCTGTCACTCCAGAGCTTTTTTACCCCTCCTCCTCCTAATGYACTAAACACCATTTTCCCTGTAAAGATCCACACACGGACGTCTCTCTCTAACCACCGCTGCGGTCAGGGAGTTGCGCAAAAGCKCTCAAGAAAGACTTGGTGTCGACCACAGGAGTCTTGATAATAGCAACCAAGTACAAACGGGGACTATGGGGACAAATGGAACACAGTCTGTGGCTGGCAGCGTTAGCACAAATATAGCATTGTCGTAATTTTAGCTGGATGGTGCAGACATCGGGAACAATCACCCATAGATGCTGATGGCAGCTGATCAAGTCTGCCTTCTGTTTTTTTATTTTATTTTTTCCCTCTCTTCTTCTACTTTCTGCCTCGTTTCCTAGAATACCAGGCCAGTTTTCAGAGCTGTTTCCATTTCGGAGACTCTTACAGGACGGAGCAGGCGGGCAGCGGCGTCCACATCCCGGGAGATTCTCGGGCCTACAGCTCTCATCAGCACAACGGCTTCCACGCGCCGCCCGGCAGCGCCGCCTCAGCAGGTGAGAACGGCTCTAGTTATTCTGGATGATAAAAGTCACTAACGTCCAACTAAAGGTTCACTCATCACGCCGGCAGGTTTTAGTTTGGCCCAGGAGGCGCAGGGAGGCGCCGGGTGCCAGTTCTCCTTGAGCTCAGAGGACAGCATCTTCTTCCAGGTGGGCAGCCTGAGCCACGTGTCCTCGGTCTACACGGAAACATGAAGCCATGCTGGAGGAGAGGACAGCACTCTGCCTTTCCACCGTCTCCACCGTCTCTCCACCTCTCCTTCAGCTGCGAGTTCTCCTGAAAYGAAACCCAGCTCACGCTGAACTCTGACCTGCAGCTAAATCAAACACAAAAAGCCCAAGGTGTGTTTATTACACCTAAATGAATGTTACGCAAGACGGAAATCTGTTTAAAACCATTACATTATTTGAAATAAAATAAGAACTMCACAATCATGACAAGCTGTATTTGCCTCCAAACAAACTTCAATTTTAATGTTAAATTATCCAGAATTTAAAAGGAAATCAAAGAGTTAAAGAAAACACATGTTAGAAAAACATTTAAGGGCAGCTGTACCGATTTTCTATTTTTCATTAACTTTCATTAAAAGTATTAGTGTCCCGATACCAATACCAGTACCTTTATCAGAATTTTTACAAGTACTCTTACTCGTACAAAGTGCCCCGATACCTGGATCTGATCCCGTCACTGTGTTACAGTTCATATTTCAAGTAAAACATTTGTCAGTTCCATGTTTAAGAAATTTATACAAGTTGAAAGAAAATCTTATTTGTTATTTTTATTTATTTTAAAATGATTCAACAGTATATATCAAGCTGTATATTTGATTTGACCCAGTCAGAGGGGCTGTATAGGGAAGGAGAGCCAGCTTGTTCTAAATTAAGTCATTGTGTAAGTAACTCAGTAAATACTCGGTATCGGTGAATACCCAAACTGAAGTACTCGTATTGGTTTGAGGTAAACTGGTGTTGGGACACCACTGATAAAAGTATAACCTTGTCTGGCTGGAAGGAAGCAGAATTGAACATTTTTACCATCTGAACTTCAGCTCAACACAATGAATTTAGACAGGCAGAACAACTTATTACATTAATTTCAGTATTTGCTGACATTATTTATGTCTGGTTTGGGTTAAACATTTCTCATATTAAAAAAAAACCCGACTTGGTGATAAAAACCCTCCAAATGCAGTCCAAACAGACCTCTTCATTTCTTTAAATGTGTGAATTTCAAACACTACAAACTTCTTTGTTTTTTTCTCTGTAATCTACATCTTTTTATCTGTTTTAGACTGAAGTGTAGAAAAGAATATATCATTTTGCTGTGATGTTGTAGCTGTGTAAATTTTTATTTTTGTTTTATCTCTGTTTTGGCTCTTTTGTCCTGCAATAATGCAGAGAAACCTACTTTCTATTATTATTAATAATGATCATCTAATAWTTGTATAAATGTACAGTTTGTTTACAACAAGCATTTGAATGTTTGTCATCTCCCAGACCGAGAAATAAATAATTGAAGAATGGACTTAGTGCCTCTCCCACCTCTCATCAGTCAGTGGTAAAAACCTGCAGACTGTGGGCAGGTGGCGCCCTCTGGTGGACAAACCAAACACAGCAGCTGGAGCCGTTTTGGCCTCATTTCTGCTTCTTCCTGTTCAGGTAGCTCTGAAAATAGAAGTTGGTGAAGAGGACGATGAGGGTGACGCAGTAAGCAAACACCACAGCGTTCATGGAGTCGGGGAAGTTGCAGTCTGTGAACAGGTTGTAGCCCGTGTGCAGGAGGAAGAGGAAAAACTGCAGCTGCAGAAGCAAGAAGCTCAGATCAGATTAAGCATTTTTGATCTTCTTCATCCGTCTTGTGCGTTTTTCTCACCAGCTGCAGGGACGTCAGGTATCGTTTCCACCACAGGTACTTCTGCATGTGAGGCCCGAACGCTGCCAGGCCGTAGTAAGAGTACATGACGATGTGAACGAAGGTGTTTACCAGGCCGATGAAGAACGCTGCAGGACGAAGAACAATAAATCAGAATAGCTGATATAATAATTTCCCCTTTCACTCATAATAAATACACAAAGTACATTTAAAAGTCAAACTAAGATACATAAAACAAAAGAAAAAAAATTATACAAAGCTTGTGTTAAATATGGAAGACAATTACGGCTGCAGAGCAACAGACTTTAATCTCAGACTATTTTCTTAGAATTCTGAGATTAAGGCCAGAATTTGGAGAACAGTGAAAACTCTTCTTTGTTTCTGATTTTTTTCTCAAAATTCTGAGATTAAAGTCAGAAATCTGAAAAGTAAAAATTCAGACCTTTTTGCTCAAAATTCTGAGAAAAAATTTTGAACTCCAAGAAAAAAAAGTCAGGATCTTCACTTTAATCCCAGATTTCTGAGGTTAAAGTCAGAACTTGGGGAAAAACATTGTTTTTGCTCTGTGGCTCTGCATAACTTACACTGTCCTCCAGCTACGTATTTAACTCCCGCCCACCAGTTGAAGATCATGGTGCCATGATGGTAAACATGAAGAAAAGTCAGCTGATTGTTCTTCTTCCTCAAGATGAAGAACAGCTGCTCGGGAAGAGAAAAGTCTCAGCACTCGGCAGTTTCAGACCTCAGAGGGACAGTTAATGATCCATGAGTGTAATGAACAAACCGTGTCACTCAGCTCGATGACCTTTGAGAAGAAGAACCACCAGCAGACTCTGGCCATCTGCACAGAGGAAACCACGAGCGTTCAAACAGCTAAAATCATCTCTTTACAGTCAGATATGTTTCATGAAATTTGTCAAATGTTTCTTACCCTCATGGCCAGCGGACGGCTGCTGTAATCTACAGGCTGACAGAGAAGACTGTAGTCTGAGAGCCACGATGTGACCAGGAACTGAAAATAATTTGGCAACAATCTGCAGTCATGAGTTTAAGTCTATATGACAAAATTAGAAAACATATACAGGTATGTGAACCATCCCATCACATCAAACAGGATTAAATCACAAAGTGTGGAGAAATAAGCAGCTTTAGTGCATGTGTTAAAACATTTGCAACAACTGCATTTGGTGATAATATAATGAATAAATATCTTACCTATGTGTTGTTAAATCTTGATTTTTTTTAGCAGTAGCTACAAAAAATGTGATTTTGAGTCAAAAAGCCTTAAATTTTTGTCATTTTTTCTGCAAGCTAGCAAAGGTTTTCTTTCTTTCTAGCTGTTAAATCTTAATATCCAAATATTGTTTGAGGTTTCCTATTTAAAATGGCATCAAAACTTCATTAGAATAAACGAAAATCATGATTTAGACCAAATAATGTGTTATCCTGTTTAGGAAGACAAATCAAAGCATCTAATTAAAAAGCCAAAATATGAAAATGAGCTGAGGTCATTTTGACCAAATATGACTTAATCTTTAGTATGATGTGATGGTTCACATAGTTCTTTAAAACATATAGAAAATTTCAGCTATGTAAATATCAAAAGTTGACATTTTTCCATATAAAAAGTAATTTACACAGCAGTTTATTAACAAAGTTTAAGATTTAGAGCAGTTATAACAAAAACGTGTTTGATCATTTCTCACATCATCTTCAATCACTTTTTGTCATAATGAAGACATAATTGGTCATTAAAAAGCAGCCCAGACCATAACATTACCACTGTCATGCTTTACAGCTGGTGTAAAGATCTCTTTAAAACCTCCATCTGCACCAAACATCTCCTGTCACTTGGGTCCGATGTTTTGATCACCTGAAAGCCTTAAGACCTGCTCTTTCACCTAATATTCTGTTGTTTTTTTCTAAGCGAGTGAAAATTTTTATTTGATTAAATGACAAAGAAGCTCAGTGTAACAACAAGATTGCCTGGATAAAGTAAAAGCAAMAAGAAAATTAACTAAATGCCTATAATTTAACAAATATTTGCGTGTATTATATTTTATGCTATCAATAGTTTAAAAGGTTATACAAATTAAAATGGTAAAATAAGATATTATTTTTTTACTTAAACTGTGAACATGAATTTCTAAAAGACAAGAAAAAATAAGTGTGAGAAAATACTAAAATCTTTATATTTAGAGTCTTATTTCCATCGCTGCTCAAAGTAAACGTACCTCATGGAACATGTATGCAGACAGGAGAACCATGGAGAAATTATACCAAATAAGAACCAGTTTGAGGTCAACGGGTTCTCTGTGTTTCATCAGACGGGGTCCGGCCCAGATCCCACCGAGGTAAACCAGGAAGATGAGCGCCACCGGGACAGGGGAGTAGACCAGCAGCCAGGGGTCCGTCCTCTTGTCTGAGGGATGAGAGGGAAACGCAGCGCAGGAAATTTAATCAGGGCCCGTATTTATAAAACTTCTTAGAGTGGATTGTTAGACTTAAGTGCTGAAAATTTCTTAGATCTGCCCCTACTCTCAGACTTAAGTGTAAGTGCCAGTTATCAAAACTCTTTAGTCTAAGAATCACTTTTACTCTCAAAAGTTCAGACTGCTCCAGAGGACTCTTAAGTGGTTAATTAAGAGTTGCCACTAGGGGTCTGAGATGAACTGAGGAGACAGAGATTACAGCCGTCCTCCTCCCCACCTGACGGTTATTCTCAGTTATGAGGTGGAAAACTTAATCAGAAATATACAAAAGAAACAAAAGGTAAAAAAAAAAATAAAAAAATAAAAATTGTCCATAAAGTTGGACTAAAAGGCAAATAACTGTGTGTGGCTTTTGGAGAAAATATTAAATATACTCAGCTGGTGAGTGCATGCAACCCCCCCCCCCCCCAAAAAAAAAAAAAGAAAGAAAGAAAGACTACTGTGGGATTGAACGTTTCGTTCATCACGTGATACAATGATGGAGCGCGCCGGGTGGGGGGCGCTCGGACCAAGCTGGTAATGACAAAGCGGGTTGTGTGTGCATAGTGTGTGTGCGCGTGTGAACTGTGTGTAAAGCCGGTGTTGTCTGGAGACAATGGCGAAGAGGAGAAGGGAGCAGCTCAACATTAACTCAGGCTCTGAGACATTAAAACAACTTTAAAGCTGCTGAGTTTTAAATTTTAAAAAAATTGTGACATTTTGGTCTGTTTTCATGATGCAAATGAGGACATTTTATGTAATTCTACAGAAAATCAGTTCAAGGTGACAACATTAGTGTGTTGAAAATTAACTTATTTTAGGATTTTCACAGTCTTATCTTGACATTTCTCCGTCAATGTTCTTGAACATGAAATCCGAGGCAGTGATTGGTCCGTGTCGAGGAGTTTCTAATGATGTCATCCAGGAACAGCTTTGCGGCACAGCCAGGTGTCGCAAATCAGCTCTAAGACTGACACTTGAGAATTACTCCTATACTTCACTTAAAGTAAGACTGAGACGCTTGATAACTGACGTCTACTCTCAGCTTTTAACTAAGAATTTTTTTACACTTAAGTCCACCCTTAGCAGCATTCTTAAGAGGAATTCTAAGAAGTTTTATAAATACAGACCCAGATATTTATCCCTACACAATGTTAACCATTACTTTTTTGTTTGCTTAAACACAAATTTTAATCTCTTTAACACACCAATAAAACACAGTATAGGAATTAAAAACACTGCATTTCAAGACAGTTAGACATGTCTGTGACTCAGCTCCTCTCCTAATTATACAAGGAACATTCAGAATTGTGAAAACGTCTTGAGCCATCTTTACTTTATAGATGCAGCTTAAAATTTTGAATACAGTGAAAAAGTTATTTTTTGTCCATGGATTCTGTGCCTCTCCACTCTTCCTCCATACTCTGGCAGCTTGGTTTCCAAATGATTTTCATCTGAAAAGAGGACATTGGACCACTGAGCAACAGTCCAGYTTTTTGTCCCCTCAGCTCAGATAAGACACTTCTGACATYGTCTCTGCTTCAGGAGTGGCTGCACTCGATGAATGGAACGTTTACAGTCCAGGTCTACAGTTAATTAGGACTTGACAATTGCCCAGACTGACAAAAGCACCAAAAGCTGGCTATGTAATTAGGGTGATGCAAAATCGTGTTGTGTGTGATTAATTGTCAAAAAAAAAACTATCAACAATTAATATTTGTCACTTTGTAATTAAAAAGAAAAAATTGTGTAGGTCTTCTGGACGGGTTCTTCTCTAATGAAACGTTTCGTCTCTCCTCCAAGAGACTTCTTCAGTC